GTGCAGAGAACTGGGTGTGTTCTCCGGGCGAGGACAAAGGAGATGTTTCAACATCAGAGGATGAGGATGGCGTCAGTGACAATAAGGATGAGGACTACATCCCTCCAGTATACATTCAGTAAGCCCTTCATTTAAAAGTTCAGGTTCATGAAAAGTTGTTTCATTTTTCTCACTGTCTTCACTGTTCCTCCAGCAGTGGCAGTGCCAGTAAAACTAAAATGCACTCGGATGCTCCAGAGTCTATCAGCAAAGGGGACGCTTCACATGAAACTGCAGAGCCAACGGCGCAGCTGCCAGGGGGCATGGAAAAAACGAAAGTCCAGAGTGAGGACAAAACTGGTTATTCTGCATCCATTATTTACTGCTGACTGATTTAAACACCAGCAGCAGTTGTGTGAGATTAGAAGGATTTTATATAAATGTCTCTGGGTCGGGTGCATCAACAGATCGTTATGAAGCCTGGTCTTCACTGATAACTTAGTTTTTGTTTGGACCAATTTGTAGGATAGATATTGTGTACAGCATCTACCAAACAAACCTAGTCTTACTTATACCTGCTGTTAGCATGTGAGTGCCCAGGTCATTTTGGCTGTTGCCTAGCAACCACAATGTAAATTTGTCGTTTCAAAGTTGGCAGCAACTCTGAAATAAGACAGTGAACAAAGTCAATGGAAGATCACACTGATTATGTAAATCTCTGACAACTCTGTCTTTTAACTTTAGCATAAGTGTTACTTTGACAATATGAAAAAAAGTCTGAGTTACAAGCCTTTCAAGCACATGCAGTGGGTCAGAATTTAGCTTTTTAAGTCGCCATATCGAGATCGCCCCGTGAAGTTTTCTCAAGATCAAAAGAATATTTAACAGATCTTTAAAGGAAGGAAGTTACAGTTTCAGAGAGTCACTGGGCTGAGTGGGTGCACTGGGTCCTAGTATGCAATAAATGGGGATTATTTTCAGCTTTCTGTCATGTAATGCTGCTTCTGAATTAAAAACCCCTGGGGCCATGTTGGTTCAGCCTCTTTATTCACGACAGAGTTCAAGCCAGTATTTTAAAAATGTTATTGAACACTTTTACACAGGAAAAGCAAGTAGGCCTTGAGTTAATGTAACCTGACAAAGTTTTTTACATATCTTTAATTTTTCTTTTTAAAGTATGTTTGCTTGAAGTATTGAGTAAAACAATATTACTATAGCAAATCGGTTTATTTAAAAATGCTGTAGTTTAAAGAAGTTGTAGTTGTTAACAGCGCTGATAGTGGATTTCTCAAAAAAAAAAAAGTTGACATGTGCTATCCTCCTGAGGTTTTCTTTGTTACGATGGCAACACATCCTCACAAGTCACTGGAGAAAAGTTAACACCAAAGTCGTCATTATTTTCTCTGTAACTTGGTGTCTATAATGTTATGCTGATTTTGTGTCATTTGTTCCTACAGGAAACAGGCCTCATCATCAGCTTGGAAACCAGGAAAGGAATGCTGCCAACAAACACCTCCAAGTGAGCAAATTTAGATTAAGACTTCTTAAACTGTTGATAGCTGTGCACCTATTTAAGGAGGCGGGGTGTGATTCAGGGCTACACAGAAAAACTACATCCATTAAAAACCTTTGCACAGCATTTTTAATGTGTCTGTTCAGAGGATGGACCTTTTTAAAGGGACCTACACTATTATCAGTGATTATAAGCTCCAAAGTTTTATTATTGGACTCTCATAGAACAGTTTGGAATGATTCATGGTTCAAAATAATCCCTGTTATTTTATACTTTAAACCGGGTACCCGGGACAGGCTTACTGAAGTCTTACCTGGATCCAGACTCAGGGTATAGGCTTGGGGACAAGCATTTGGTTGCTCAACCTGAAAAAGGATGATGTGGGTCCATCCTCTTATGGGCCCACAACTCACAGAGCAGGCCATAGGTGTTCGGTGATCTGTGGCAGTCAGAGGCGGAGGCCCTGGCTCTCTGATCCTTGGCTTACAAATCTGATACTGGGCACGTCACCTCTCTGGTGGGGAAGGAGCCGGCGCTTTTGTGAGATACCGACTAGATGTAGCCAAGCTCACCTCAGTCCATAGCTCAGGCTCTGGAACCAGTTCACAGATAGATTGGGGAGAGCTGAAAGTAAAAGCATAGGTGTCGATTTAAACTCATTTCACAATGAGTTTCCTTTGAAGACTGGCTGGGCTCTTCCTTAGAGATAGGGCAAGGAGCTCGGTCATTCAATACTGCTACTCCTCCACATAGAAAGGAGCCAGTTAAAGTGGTTTGGGTATCTCCTAACAGGAGGAGACCCTGGAGTATTGTGCAAATATGAGAGCATGTCGGTTCAAAACCCAGATGTATCACCCAGAATGAATTGTGCCTTTCGGAAACACCCAAATGTTGAAGTACCGCAACTTCAACATGCAGCGCACCACAGCGAGTAGTTCTACATGTTGAAGTTTTTGTACCAGATGCACAACCTCAAAAGGATCTGTGAGTCCTCCTGACATTGTTTGTTTTTTGGGCAAATGTGATAACCACTCCACTGTGGAGCCTTTGCTCAGGCAAATGCTGACAGTTTAAAACTTCATGTGTTCACAGTGGAAAACAGAGGAAGGCCACGGAGCTGAAACACGGGAGCAGGATCATAGAGCACCACCTACAGGTAAGTTAGACTATTTTATTTTGATGTCATATTTTTTCTTTATAAGATCCGATCCACAAGACACATAAAAATATCCTCTGCTGGCCATAAAAGATTTTTAAGGTCACAGAAAAATCTCTTGATGTTTTGATTTTTGCATATAAGCGTGATTGAATCAGAAGAATGTTTTTATCTCTTTAATGCAGCAGTAATCTAAACAGAGTTTTGCTGCTAGTGCTCGATGCCTTCCATACTCACACTAATGTTCTGAATATTATCATTATTATTATTTTCAGGTATTTATTTTTGTTCAGGAGAATTTTTAGGTGCGAGTTCAGAATCCACCAGTGAGCACACCGGCCTCGCTTACAAGACCGAAGAGATAAAACCGCCGCAGGCGCTTCGCAGACCGAAGAAGATCTACAAGTGTCAGACCTGTAGTAGAGTGTTCCCTCGGTACAATGCACTGCAGCGCCACCTTGTGATTCACTCGGGAAAAAGACCTTTCAAATGCTTTATATGTGGGAGAGGATTCACCCAGAGTGGAAACCTCAAAACACACATGAAAGTTCACAGAGGTGAGAGGAACCTCCTGCTGTGCTCAGGACACTTTAACCACAAGCAGTCATGTGATTAATTCAGTTGTGCTCATGAAAGCATCTGTTGAGTTTCTCCTCTTGTGTATCACGATGTTTCTTCTTTATTTAATTGCCCATCTGTATCTATCAGTCACTGTATTTGTTCCTCCTCACAGGTGAGCTTCCAAAGTGGACCTTAGTTCAAAAGAAGAGCGAGCCTAAAGAATCGCCTGCTACAGTTCACGTGTGTGGGGAGTGTGGAATGGACTTCCCTGAGAAACATCAGCTAGAGGAACACCGTGAGACTCACAAGAAACCCTACGCATGTCCCGACTGCGGCAAGAGATTCAAACAGGAAAATGGCGTTAAAATCCACATGCGGCTCCACTCGGGAGATTCCCTTTTCTTCTGTTCCGCCTGTGGGAAACACTGCACTACGGCTAAAATGCTTAAAATACATATGCTCACTCACACCGGAGAAAAGAATTACCATTGCGATCAGTGTGGGAGGGCGTTTTCACGCTCTTCCTATCTAAAGTTGCACCTCAGAACTCACACCGGAGAGCGACCTCACCTGTGCTCGATCTGTGGGAAACGTTACTCCAGAGCAGATACTCTTAAAGCCCACCTGAGAGTTCACACTGGAGAGAACCCGTACACGTGTAAGATGTGCGGGAAGTGTTTCTATTATTATCAGGGTTATCAAGCACATGTGAAGACTCATAACAAGAAGCCCAAAAAAGCTACAAGACCTCTGGGGAGACCAAAACAACAGCTGATAGTGGTAAATAATCAATAATGGGATTTTAGAAAAATAAGAAAATATTAAATTATTTTTGTTATATAATATACCTTTAACTCTCTACAGATAAATTTCTGAAGTGGTTGGAGAAGCAGTGTAAATGTAATGTGTTTTTAAGCACAGTTGCTGTTATGTGACTAGAACTGTGAAGACAATAAATCCTAATAATTGTTCCTGTGTGTTTTGTAATTGTAGTCTTAACAAACTCTTAAACTTAATGTTGATTATTCCAGATATTGGAGACTCAGTGGATCTGATACAAGGATTTGCCATTAAGCCAAAAGCTTAATCCAGTGAAGCTAGAAATATCACTGTTATTTGTTTTTTGTCCTTGGAAACAATCAGCCAATCACACCTGAACGTGAGGTTAGCTTATCAATCACATTACAGCAACTTATTGCATTTACACTTGTCAAGATGGCCTGCAGAAGATCAGATCAGGAAAGAAATGTGATTTAAGTGACTTTGAATGTTGTGTCCTTGTTGGTGCCAGACAGACTGGTCCGAATTTGTTCAGAAACTGGTCTACTGGGCTTTTCCCACACATCTAACCCTAGGGTTTACAGAGAACTGTCTGGAAATGACTAAAAAGACTAATAGTTTTACTTTGAAATTCAGATTGTAGATTGAATTTGATGGAAAGAACAAGAAACCATGGATCCATCCTGCCTTGCATGGAAGGATGGATGCTGGTGTGAGCATCATTTAAACACCACAATCTACCTACCTGAGGGGGTTCTGACCAGGTCTTGTTGACTTGTAAAAGCTTATGGGACATTTTGTATTTCACCATTTATTAACTGCACAGAGAAGGCATTGTTTGCATAGTTAGTTTTCTTTAAGCAAAAAGTATTATTAAAGTTCTTTATGTCCTCTTTTTTGGAAATCAAAATATGGTCACCCTATCCAAATAGATCTTTTGAAACCTAGTCTTGAGGTTTCAAAATATGCAGTACAGCAGTGCGAGAAGAACGCTGGTTCGTGAACGCGCCGCGCACCGCCTCTACCTTGCGCATGCGCTCTAGCTCCAAATCTTCGGGAAAAGTTTACAAACAATGGCTGAGGAGCAACCTCCAGCATGCGACGAAACGCCCGTCCCCCTTCTCCTAATGCCAGCGAACACAACAGAGCCAGTTAAAGAGAAGGTTCCCGACAAGCAGCGAGCTGAAACGAAAGCGTTAGCCCGAGACAAAAACAGACTAAACATTGGAGCTGTTTTTCACAGGTGGAAGCACGTACGGGAACAGAGAGGATTCAAAACAGATGCAGAGTTCGCCACATTTCTGCTGGACAGGTAGTTAGTTACCTGTGCTTGAATCGTGTTTAAGGTAGCTAAGATGTCAAATGTAACACGCCGTGCTCTATCACTGTCGTGTTGTAGTCAAGCTAACGTTAGCGTCATCATAAAGCTAAAGTCACTGAGTAGCATAGGGGTTTGGTTTGGTTTTGTTTTAACTATGAGTATCTGGTAGTAGTCCAGCTGCAGCCACTGACCGAGTGCTGTGAGATGGGCGTTTCCTGATTAGGCTCAGGGGGTGTGTCCTGCAGGATTTGCGACGCAACAGCTAGACGGTATAGCGAAGAGGGAAGTGATTGATCCCTGGCTTGCAAAGCACATAGGCACACAAAGGTAGTTTCTGATTTAACAGTTACCGGAAAAGAAAGTAAAACAAATAAAGTACAACAGTGAGGGTTTTTATTTTTTTTTGTATTGCTTTGTTTTTTTTCTTTAAAACACTGTTGGACTTTTTAATTAAAGCTCCGAATGATGTTTGAAACATTTGTTCAGTTTGTTAGTGTGTCTTTAAGCAGCCTTTCTTTACAAATCAGAAACTGTTTAAACAAATAAACTAGTCCAGATTTGGTCAGTGTAGTAGTTTTTGATCTGGTCTCGCTCTGATGTGGGCTGTGAGAAAAGAACATAATAAATGCCTCCATAACTTAGAGCGGTGGTTTCAGCTGTGTTAACCCTCAAATGTATGTTGCACTTCTACAAGATTTACAGTACTATGTAAAAGTATTTGCCGCCTCCCTGATTTCTGAGAATTTTACTTATTTGTCAAATGTTGAAGAGTTGCATCATCAATACATTTTAATATTAGACAAAGATAACCTCAGTTAATAAAAAACGCAGTTTTAAAATGATGATTTAATTTATTGACAGCATTTCTGAATGGAAAGGTTTCAGAAGCTGTGACCACATGGAAATGGCACACAACGTGGCACCTTTAATTTAACTTATGCTGGGTGCAGCTTGTTGAAAAGCAGCGTGTGCAAGCCTGCACTGACATGTGAAACAGGGTATAAAGCAGCGTATATTGTGTTCATCAGTGTTTTATTGGGTCGTAACTGTCTAATAATATATTTTGCATTTTACAAAATATGAACAGGACAGAGAAAATTACTTGTTTTCCACATGAGTACAAAGGACATGGTTCGACATCAGAAGAGGAAACGGCAAAAGGGGATGGTTGCTATGATGACAGCGATGATCAGGATTACGTTCCCCCTGTACATGTTCGGTAAGCTCTGAACCAGAAGTTTGTATCAATAAAAATGACTTTTTTTTTTTTCATGACCTTTTCTTATTCCTACAGTGCTGCCTGCCTGAGTGCTCCCAAGTCGGTCACCAAACAGGTCCCCGTGCATGATGCTGTAGATGCAGAACAAACAGAACAGCCACCAGGAGCAGAAACAATCCACGTTCAGAGTGAGGACAGCAACACTGGTCATACTGGATTCATTATTTAGTCATGAGTTTCTGGAAAACGGTCAGGTTTTCTGTGTAACCTTGTTAGTGGTTGTAATATAATAATGGGTTTGTTTATATAGGAAACAAGCCTTACCATCCGCTTGGAAATCAACACAAGGTTTGGAGAAAATGCATCCTGTAGATGTTTAAAATCCCACCATTTCACAGCAAACACTGCTTTCAAGCAAGAGAATTTAAAGCTCTTTGTGTGTTCACAGGATCAGGAGCAAAAACCTGAAAACACCTGTTCAGCAGATCAGTCTTCCCGGACACCAGGGGCTTCCTCCAGACCTCCATCGTATGAGCTGGAGCTCACTCCATCTGTCTCACATCACAACGTGCCAAAGAAAATAAACCGGAATGAGACGAACACTGATGAAAATCCCAGTGAAGACCACAGACCTGAAACACAGGATCACAGCACGGCACCCACAGGTGATGGAGTGTTATTAAAATGTATTAAAAAGACTGACAGACAGTACATGTGTTGCATAAGATGAAGCTAAAAATCATGTTCATGTCTTGGGCTTCACCAACATTCATTATGAAAGATGGTCCTTCTTTTTGTGGTACACATATGAATATTATTTTGAGCTTCATTTAATTTGTGGTTTAACTTCTTGCCTTCTGTTAGAAAGATATCAAAAGTAATAATTTGATTATAAATGGAAACCATACACACAGTGCATGCAGTGCAACAACTTCACACTGATATTTCTGTATTTTGAGGAGAAACTCTCACTCTAGAACCTACCAGTGTACAGAGCAGCTCCCAGGAGCTTTGTAAACCAAAGAAGACGTACTACTGCCCGACCTGTGAAAGAGTGTTCCCCCGGCACAACGCCCTGAAACGACACCTCGTGATTCACTCGGGAAAAAGACCTTTCAAATGCTTCATATGTGGGAGAGGATTCACCCAGGGTGGAAACCTCAAGACACACATGAAAGTTCACAGAGGTGAGAGGAACCTCCCGCTGTGCTCAGGACACTTTAACCTGTTTCAGTTAGATGTTTGTGGCAGTTGAAAATCCTCTTTACTCATCTTTTACCGAGCTGCACAAAGAACAGTTAAAAAATGTATGGACTGCTGAGTAGACTCGACTGGTATCACGGTTTTGTTGAATACCTGGGTGTTTAAGCATTTTGATGTTTTGATGGTTTTCAGTACCTTCAAAAATACAGCTGCTCCTCTTTCAAATACTGATGTTAAGGTGATGCATTTTGCACGGCTTGTGCCAGCAGAGGGCAGTCTCTACTGGTCGAACAAGCATGAGCTGTGTAAAGATTACAGTCAGTTTAATTTTAAAAAAATAGTGTTCACTCATAAATAGAATAACATCTTCCAAAAAATTGATGCACTCTCCTAAACTTAAAAAAATCCATTAAAAATGCATGAGAGCGGACGCCGATTTGTAGATGCCGCCATGTTGCCCCACCAACTTGACTATAGTGGGCGAGATAGACATCGCTGCTCCACCTAATCTCATTGTGGCTGTATGTTGTTAGAGACCAACCACATTTGTATTAGGCCAACAGTCGGGGAGAAAAAAACTCATAGGTGTCCTTTTAATTGGTGTCTGCAACCGTTAGATTCAAGATAAAAAAGCATCATAACTTGCCGACGAGAACAACAACAATTTTCCAAGAGATATGATGATGAGAACGAACTGTCTCTCTTGCCCAATCCCTCGAGGCCACCTGCGTAGGCTGCGGACTGTTGATCTTCGCCTAATGGGCGAAAGGACACTTTCTCAGGCTGAACTGGTATGCCAACAGCTGTGCACATTGGCATACCCCCCCATGTTGCTTGTCTTGTGTTTTTATGGTGTTACGATGTGATATTTGTGCTTTTTATGTGCTGGAGTTTTTGTCTTCTCCTCATGCTGACTCCTTTTAAGGATCAGTATGAGCAGAAATTCTTTTTTTTCTCCTGATCTGACCTTTTGTTTTATACATTTCATTGTTTTTCCTTTTGCTACCTAGCCTGACCTGTCTCCCTAGCGTGAAGTTGTATATTGTAAGTACGGTCGGCAAGGTTTGTTATCTCAGTTGCAGGCAACTGCAACTGAGATAACAAATGCATTATCCAATCCAATCCAATAACTGTGTTTTATCATCTGAGAAAGGGTGCCAAAGAAACAAAAACATAAAGGAAAGAGAAAACATGATCAGCATCTGGACAAAATGTCATCTTCTTCCTCCTCAACTCTGACCTCTAAGCCGTCAGCAGAAGTCAGGCCTTTTAACACATGAAAATATCCGTGAACATGCTTATTTATTCTCAATATTGTCACAATTAATTATTGTCAGCAGATTAAATATGTGATCCTCCCGTCTCCAGACAGTGAACAACACTGATAAACAGTTTGATCACAATCACTGAGCATCAGAGTCCAACAAAGTCAAAGAAAGTTTCACTAATCCTGGCTAACAGCAGCTAACAGAGGTTAACAGCCGCTAACAACAGCAGCAGCTTACCAACAGAAAAGTTCAGGATATCCAACAACTCGCCTAAGTATTGCTATCATCGTATAGAGGTGAGTTTCAATGAGTCATTGACTCATATCGGACTACTTTTAAAAAGTATTTTTTAATTCAGTTGACTGCAGTCAGCAATCTACTAGTGAGATTTTACACACTGTACCCTTACTTTATTCAACTGGGAAAAAAACAAAAAAAATCATCCAATTAAAAACAATTACATCATCTTCGTTCAGCCAACTGCTGGTTGGTAGTTTCCACATAGCAGGATGAGTCATCAGTTTCTTCAGCAAATGTAATGAGAACTTAGTGTGAACTCAACAAAACAATCAATGCCTCGACCCAAGTTTTTCAAGCAGAGGCTCTCACTGTGTAACATCATGAGCAATTTTATTCAGTTCACCTGTCTGTGAACTTGAGGTTTTGTTTTTTTTGTTTGTTTACTTTATTTTTAATTGTGTACATGCTTGTATTTTTCACAGGAGAGTTACCAAAGTGGACATTAATTGAAGAGAAGAGCGAGCCTAAAGCATCTCCTGCTACAGTTCACATGTGTGGGGAGTGTGGAATGGACTTCCCTGAGAAACATAAGCTAGAGGAACACCGCGAGATTCACTGGAAGCCTTTTGCATGTCCTGACTGTGGGAAGAGATTCAAACATAATAAGAGTGTTAAAATGCATATGCGCCTCCACTCAGGAGATTTACCTTATCTCTGTTCAGAGTGTGGGAAGACTTGTGTCACGATGGAAATGCTTAAAAAACACAAGTTAACTCATACCGGAGAAAAGAACTACCACTGTGATCAGTGTGGGAGGGCATTTTTGCAATCTTACAACCTCAATTTGCACCTGAAGACTCACACCGGAGAGCGATCTTTTCTGTGCTCGATCTGTGGGAAACGTTACTCCAGAGCAGATACCCTAAAAGTTCACCTGAGAGTTCACACTGGAGAGAACCCGTATGCGTGTAAGATATGTGGGAAGTGTTTCTATTACAATCAGGGCTATCAAGCGCATGTGAAGATTCATGACAAGAAGCCAAAAACATCCATGAGAACTTTGGGGAGACCGAAACAGCAGCTGATAGTGGTAAACAAACAGTAATGTGATCAAGAACATTTACAGCAGTCTGAGAAGCCTTTGATTATTAAACCTAAACAAAGACATATACTCCTTTCTGTTAATCTGACTTCTGAGCTTCAAGAGATATATGCATACTTATGAATGTGGCACAATGGCATTAATCTGATGTTTAATAATTACCCTAAAATGGAGACAGGATTGGTCAAGATTGTCTGATCCATTGATTAAAGTCCCGTAATCGCACATACAGTGTGGCCTCTGTTTTAAAGAGCTGATGACAAGCCTCTAACCTCGTGCATTATGTATGCCAATTGATTTATCTTTATATCTCGCAAGTAGTACGCAATACTGTGCAAGTACAGTGTCTCGTCCCATCAGTGTTGTAATGAACGTAGCAGTCTGTTGTCACTTTAACAGATTCATCAAGCCAGTAATGTTACATATCCAGTGTCTGAAAAGAGTTAATTTGAAATAAAATCTCTCGGATGACTCAAGTAGAAAAAGTATTCCTGTAGTATATTTTGTATGGTCACTTCCATTGTCCGTAGTTTGGTCAATGGTTCTTAAAAAAAACCAAGTTCTTTGTATTTTTGGTTCATCCAAACTTGATCGTTGGATTAGAGTTAATGAAACATGACAATGAGCACATTTGAAATGTGGTGGATTGGGAGAGTTGCATCACGGATGTGCAGCCAACATATCTGCAGCAACTGTGTGATGCTATCATGTCAACATGGACCAAAATCTCTGAGGAATGTTACAAACACCTTGTTGACCTTCCTAATGTTGTAAACCTGCTCAACATTTGGCAATAAAAACCCTTTCTGATTCTGATTCTTGAATCTGTGCCACGAAGAATGAAGGCAGTTCTGAAGGTAAAAAGGCCGTCCAACGTGGTACTGAAAAGGTGTGTTTGGCTTCCAGAAAGATTTTAGGTTATCTTATGCATAGACTTTCTAACCCAGGTACATTAATGTTATTAAAGCGATAGGCATGGTCATAGTGCATAGGTAGGCTTTGAACAATGCTCAGTTGGTACGGAGAGACCTGAAGTGTGCCAAAAATATATTCCCATGTCATTACATCATGCCAGGATGGATGCTTTCATGCGGTTTACAACAAGTTCTGACACTACTGTCCAAATGAAGACTTGTCAGATCAGGCAACATTTCTTCAATCTTCTAATATCTAATTTTGGTGAGCCTTGATGTCAGGAGTGACACCTGGTGTGTTCTTGAAAGCTGTAACACAACCGCTTCAAAATGATAAGTGTGCATTCAGAGATGCTCTTCTGCATACCTTGGTTGTAATGAGTGGCTGAGTTACTATTGCCTTTCTAGCAGTTTGCAGCAGCCTGGTTATTCTCTTCTGACATCAACAAAGCATTTTCACCCAGAGAACTGCCGCTCACAGGATATTTTCTCTTTTTTCTAACTGTGTCCAATTCAAAAACACTTAAATTGGCTTTCTTCCTCATTGAGTTTGAAGTGATTTGATGCTCTTCTTCAACATGTCTACATGCCTGAATGCACTGAGTTGTTTCCATGCGACTGGGTGAATTTATATTTATAAGTTGTTGACAAGGTTTACCTAATGAAATGGCCAGTAAGTGCACATTATTCACATGCATTTGACATTTGCAGCACTTGAAAAGTAAAAAAAAAAGTTGTATGTAAATAGAGACATAATTGAATGCGTCATAGCAGAAGCTCGTGAATGTATTAATCTTTGTATGTTGCATTTATTATTGCAGTGCAGCAGAGAATTCCAATAGTTACACCTGTGCTTGACGATCCTCTTCTATTTGAATATTTAAGGAATGACTGACTGCAGTGCGGTTTTAACACATTTCAAAACGGTTTTGCATGTTTTCGAATTGACAAAAAAGCTCCACGAAATGTTATTACCGAGGCTTTTATTGTGATTTAAAAGGCCAACCGGAAGTTCCGACGATACTTGAAGCTAGAAGCTAAAGCTAGAAAGGTTGTCATCAAATCCAGACGCTTATTTGCCGTAACTCATTAGTTGACATTAATTTGACACTGTGTGAACACATGAACATGAACCCAAGGGAGACGTAGAAATATTTCCAGGTCGTCTCCATAAACTTCTGTCGAGCGACTACTTTTTTACCTGGGGGAAAAATCTATACAGAGGTTGGTCAAAATGTCTATTGTCTGTTGTTAAGTGTTAGCTAGCTGAGTTAGCGTCGTTTGCAGAGCTTAGGGGGAGTCTGCGCAAATTTATCACTTTTAACGTCGGAGCATGAGACGGTGGGACCTGTTAATAGTTGCTGAATATCGGTTGTAGCTTAAGGGGGCTGATAGCTACCTGCTAAGATGAGCATAGCTGGTAAACGTTAGTGGCTAGCTGTTTAATAACAGTAGATGGAGGCAGAGATGGTGGCTGACCAAAGCGCTGGTCACCGCCGCGTCACGACTCACAGGCATCATTCAGCCTGAGGTCAAACTGTCTGTACTACTGTGTGCGTCTGCTCCGGCTGAGATGGCTATTCATTGCCACGACTTATATACACCAACAGGTCAGTCAGTCAGGCTGCTGCTTAACTTAAGTCAACATTAATGTGACACTTCATGGATGAGACAGATTAGCCCCTCCGAGCTAATGCTACTGAGCTAGCCGAGACACTCAGTTGACACAGATCTATGAGTACAGCTTCCCCTACTGCAGACCACTTCAGAGCTTGCTGAATTATTTTATTTATTTATTTTTACACAGAATTCACAGTAATATAGGTCACTGAAGAGGCAGCTCAGATTTAAAGGCCCAGCCTGGTTCACCTCCTCTACAGAGCAGCATCTAAGCTGCCCAAGTGTCCTTGAGCAGGACGATGGAGGCAGTTTGCTCACTGTGACAAGAATGCCTTTATTACTCAGATCCATCTGTCGATGGATCTAAGCTTAAGCAGACTGCAACCAAATGAAGAGAACATCAGTCACTATGTGAGCCCCAGTGGGTTATTTGTGGCATTAAATGAATCAACCTAATGAGGTAATCACAGCTGGGTTAAATAAAAATCTGTGGCTCATTATGAAATTTAATAACATCAGAAACAACACTGTAATCATTTGAGATGCCCCACTTGTGAATTTATGTACCCATACTAGTTTTTAATACCAGTGTTTTTTTTTCTTTAGCTGTTATTCCGTCTTTTGTGCCAGAGAAATTAATAAATCTTCATTTTAAAAAAACAAACAAACATCTTTCTGCTCTTCATCACACTGTCTTTGAACATTTAGCCACCACAAAATTGATGACACAACAGATAAACATCGGCTACTGCCAACAGTAAATCTCATCATCTGCCAATCGCAGTCAGCAAGAACACTGGCCAAGGCCGATGTCTGCCTGATATATTAATGCATTTGTAATACACATCTATTTTATTGCTGCCAGTATGTCATGCTTAATTCTGATAAACATTTAATCCTAATAAGAAGTACCTTGAATATGGTTTCTTCAAAGAAATATGTTTTCTGTGTGGTCTGTGCTTGTAACATTTGTAATCGTTATCACCCAAGTAAACAACTTATATACACACAATAATTTTTTTCCTTTTCTTCACAATGTGTTGATCCAAATCAGGAAATGAGAGAAAATTATATTTATGATAAATAAAACTACTCAGGAAGCCAAATCAGGGAATTATGTTTACATGTCTCTTTGTAGTGTAATGCTAAAATACTTGTTATGTTTTTGCTCTCATTATTTCAAATACATGTTTTAGACCTATAATATAGGGGCCAAAAGGAAAGAGTCTAAAACAAGTCTGATGCTTTTAGCCAACTGCAGACAGTAGTTTGGTGTGAACTATTACTTTGGTGTTTGTTTACTGACAGTTATTTACCTTTATCAGGCTGTATATTTGAGAGATGGGCTCTGAAAACCCAGAAGACTTTGGTTCAGTTGTGATCCTTACTGAAGATGATCAGCAAGAGATTGGAGGGCTGATCAACTCTGATGGTGAAGAAGTGGATTTCTCAGATCTGAGTGAGTAAAAAAAACATCAAAAATTAACCACCGACAAGAAAAATAGAAACTAGCGATGTTTTAAATACTGTGTGAGTCGTAGGAGTTTTGATTCTTGTGGTTTGTGGTGATTTCCTGTGTGAGGCATGTACCTTCCTTTATTATTCAATGTAATTCAACACAGTAGCAGTATAACTGTGTGCTGAAAATTGGAAGTTCTCACGTTAGGCGCATTTGTTAATCTAATTAACTGGACAGAGAGTGTCATCTGTGCATGTCCTCTCCTCATTAATGGCCTATCAGAAAAGGCATTTTTGGCTTTCTTTCTCTCAGATTTAGTTAGTTTCAAAGAAAGTACAGTTTTACACCTGCAGTGTTTATTCTGTTTAAAATCAGACTGTGGTTTGTTGCAGTTTGTTTCTGCAGATGTGAACATGGTGATCGCACGCTTGTGTGGATGAAAACAGCTGGACCGAGACCCTTGGTCTCAGTTCAATTCCAAACAAACTGTAAAGCGTTTCATTTATAGCATGAATGCAATCTGACCCAGCTACCAGATATATGTTGCAAGTTAGAGCTAAACACTTCCCTTTAGCCATGTATGCATTGCATTCTGGGATGCGGGCGGGTACCATAGTACATCAGTACGGCCTATTAAGTAGCTGTGATATGAGCATAAATTCTCCATGTTCTCCACTCATCCAGAACACAGCACCTTCTTCCTGTATTTACTTTCAGGAAATAAGTGGACTGGATATTGTCACATGGTTTGTAGTGATACATTTGGTTCCTCTGTGTGAAAAGAAACCAAATCACAGGAAAAAGCTACAAGTTTACAAACTCATAAACTGATTTACACCAGAGTAAACAAACTATAGATGGAAAAATGCTCTAATATACTTCTCAAGAAGAATTATTTCCAAAGGTCCTGCAGCTGCTCCGATCTGCCACTAGTTTGTCTTTTTGTTTTTTTGAAGAAGCATAGCCTGCTTCTGAAATTGTTAAATAAATTGGTAAGAGAAAAACTAAAATAAATGAATATAGCCACTTTTGGATTTTGGCAAAAACAGTAGTGATAATGTTTGATCTAAGATGGGGAAGAATCCATCACTTTTGACCATCTTCACAAAGTGTGTCTGAGTTTATTAGATAATTAATTTTTTTTTGGCAATCAGCTCAGTTGGTTCAGAATTTTAATGTTGGTCATGAATCATGTGACTGTGTATTTGGTGACGATCAGAGAGAACTATGCGATCCATGATTAGTTTGACTAGTGAGCAATCCTCTTGCTCTCATTTTGATTGCTCAGTGGCTGCTAATCAGCCGGCCCCGGCGCTTCCTGTCTCGTGTGTCCATGTCTGCAGGCTGGTTACGTTGCTGTTGATATCCTAAAGCTGTCTCTCCAGAGAGTCTCTTCCTCCACGGTAAGACAGATGCCAGCTTCACTGACAGAACTTATTGTACGGTCCAAATGAGGACCATCTTCAGCAGCTACATTCAAAGGACGTGGAGCTGGAATCTGTGTGCAGGATGAAAGCTCATTGGAGAGGCTACTGACTCTATTGTTTAATTTTTTAGTTATTTGGTAACTGTTTCAAAATTAAATATTGGCAGTTCCCTCGCCCAGTCAGCTTTATAGACAACATCTGGTAATCTGATTTCTGAAGTGCTTCTAAGCATGGTGTTAGTTGTTCACACAGATTCTTGGTTGCTGATCTGTTCTTTGTGTTTCCACAGGAGTGAGTGCCATCCCTGGCGCCATCCCTGCAGATGCTCCCTCAAAGACATTTGGTCCAAGTGAGAATGAAAAACCGCCTTCTCTTCACACCTGCTCAGTATGTGGGAAAGACTTTCCTTATGCCTCTAAGCTTCAGCGTCACCTACGTACTCATTCGGGAGAGAGGCCTTTCCCGTGCTCCATGTGTGAGAAGAGATTTCCAGAAAAGGGGCTTCTCATGATCCATGAAAGGGTTCACACTGGGGAAAAGCCATTCCCTTGCACTTTCTGTGAGAAAAGATTTGCCAGTCAGGGGGAGCTCCGGCTACACCGGCGGACACACACTGGTGAGAGGCCTTACCACTGCTCCATCTGTCTAAAGAGCTTTTCTCGTCACTGGCACTTGAAAACGCACTTGGAGGCAATGCACTCTGAGGTTGTTGCAGGCTTTACGAGGAAGAAATTTCCCTGTTCAGACTGTGAGAAAAGCTGTAACTCAGCTGCTGAATTGAGGGATCATCAGAGGACTCACACTGGAGAAAGACCCTTCCAGTGCTCTTTCTGTGACAAACGCTTCGCCTTGTCAGGTACGCTTGTAAGACACGAGCGCCTCCATACTGGCATCACGCCTTACCACTGCTCTGACTGCGGAAAGACATTTGCACAGCAGTGGACCCTGACCACACACATGCGGACTCACACGGGAGAGAAACCTTACAGCTGCACGCAGTGCGATAAGTCTTTTGTTGCTCCTGGAGAGCTTCGGAGGCACACCAGGATTCACACTGGGGAAAAGCCATACACCTGCGCAGACTGTGGGAGGCACTTCTCATTGGCAGGAACTCTCAGAAACCATAAACGGTCATGCACACAGAGCAAGAAGGAGTCGGATACAGAGGTTGTGTCAGACTTAGTTCGGGCTGCAGCTGAAGAATCTTCCCAGCGAGATCTGGCCAGCAGCATCAGCTCTGAGGTAGTGGCAGTACACAGATATTCAAAAGTAGTATCTCTGTGTTTTATTTACTTCAATTTCTTCTTCTGAAATTGTGTTTTTAGGTGTCTGTCAGTCAGACTGTGCCTTGTGCAACTGAGCCCACTTCCTCAGAGGGTTTTAAAAAAGCAGCTCAGTGTGAAAATACCCCAGAAGGACCCATCGGCCAGCCGGACGACACTGCTCCCACCCCACATATGAATGTAATCGTGAAAGAGGAGGAAGAAGAGGAACCATTGTGCGGTAAGTAAACATGACATTCCAGAGTGTCTTTTTACGCATTAAGAGGAGTGTAAACATGTTTGATCAGCAGTGCTGTTTTTGTGTTGTTGTTGTTTTTTCCCAGTGGAAGAAACTCCAGAGCAGGTGTCTGTTGGTGAGGACTGTACCATACCAGAAGAAACTGAAAAGCAGCGTCAGGAAAGCACCACAGAAATTAGTATTACAGTAAAGGAGGAAGAACAGCAACCTCTCAATAGTAAGAATACACAACAGCAAATCCTACTGCTGATGAGTAGTCACTAACTGGGATGTGGGTAACTAGGTTATCTAATATCCCTCTTCCACTAGTATCTACTTGACTGGGCTCGACTCGGTTTTTAAGGTTTCCCATTAGGAGGTAGTACCTGGTAATCAAATCCGTCATTTTTGAAACCTGGCAACAAGGGAAATGGCCACACAAAAAACAATACAGTGGTACCTGAATCTGAGAAAAAGCCACACACTGAGCAGCATCATTTTGTCATACTCCTTTGGTGTGGCCTTTGGCGGACCTTTGCTGGACCTTCACTGGTGTTGCTATAATGACTCTGAGTATACTAGGTGGTTCTCGATTGTAGTGGAAAACAATCAAAACCGAATCAAGTCGAAGTTGAGCCACGTAGGCACAAGTGGAAAAGGTCTATGTGTTTTATAAAGTGGCTGGACAAGAATGTGTTCTTTATCCCAGCTTTAGAGCAGCATTAAGTAACACTACATAGCAGTCGTTTAAAGAGGTGGGGGGGAGGTAATTATAGGTTATTGTTGCACATAATTCTTCTGGGCTTTGACTTTCAATGGTGAAAGCTGTTGGGTGACAGCCTTCACTTTTAAAGCAACAACAACATCTTAAACCAGTAATTTTACTTTACAATGTAACAGGAAACTTGTTAGGTGTAATTTAGCTAAATATGATGCTTTTCCATTTTAGAAATAACGAATGGCAGACACTGCATCAAACTTATATTCCAACATACAATATCTAGTAGCTTTAACTTTTTTTTTGTTCTTTTTGGTGGTTTCAAATGGCTTGTTTTAGCTCTTCATATTTACATTTCCACAGTGTCTGGAAAAGATCCCGAGCGTGTTGCAAACAGTGAAAAAGAATGCCCTCCATCACCGCCAGTGCGGGGAGAGTCAAATAACAACATACCAAAGAGCTCTTACTGCTGTGGCCTTTGTGGAAGAGACTGCCACAAGATGTCTGCGCTTCAGATCCACATGCGAATTCACTCTGGAGAGAAACCGTACCGCTGCACCTTATGTGGGAAACAGTTCACCCAGAAAGGGCAACTCAAAGGTCACTATAAAGTTCACACAGGAGAGAAACCGTTTTCCTGTCCGGACTGCGGGAAGAGCTTCGCCCACTCGGGGGCCATGAACAGACATCGGCTCACGCACACAGGAGAGAGGCCCTACCACTGCTCCGTGTGCGACAGGAGCTTCAACCAGTCCGGCCGCTTGAGGGAACACGAGAAAATCCACTTAGGTGAGAAGTTTGACTGTCCTGAGTGTGAGAAGAGTTTCACACGAGCTTCAAGCCTAAAGAATCACTTCAGGCTCCACACAGGAGAGAGGCCGTACGGCTGTGACATCTGTGGGAGAGGCTTCAGCCGCTCACAAAGCCTGAGGCTCCACAGACGAAAACACGAGCAGATTCAGACCGAGGAGGAGTCTGCGTTCAATATGAGGAATGATGACTTATCACACAGCGATGATAACTCTCCAATTAATATGTGCATAACAGACAAGAAAGATGGATGATGTATTTAAAAGACATGTACCTCTAGTATTATTAAGACTTCAGACAGTAAAACAGGAACAAGGTGATGTGGAAATAAGGGACTACCTCTGTGATTAGAACTTTATTCATACTTTTGTGTGGTTTTTCACACTAGGGATGTGCAGCACTAGTCGGGCAGGCGACTACATGTTGCTTTCCTCACTAGTCATCGCAAGAAATGTTAGCGCTATAAGCAAAATATTCATATTTCTTAATGTATAATGCCAGTAAACTGTTCTAAGGTGTAGGTGTTATGTAGGAGTGTAGCCCCAGCAGCACGCCTCTCTTTCTTTCTGTGACAAGAACCTGAAAGCAAGCAATGTGAAAAACAAGCAGACGACAGACGCACTAACCAGTGCGGTATGGAAATATTTTGATCTTTTAAAAAAGTGAACAGCTGCGTGTAGGCCATGGCAGAAACTGCTACTGGAGCGGTGCATGAACACAGTCTGCACAGACGTGTGGACGTTTACCTGCACGGACAGAAACATTAGCCACACTTGGTAAACTAACCTTGTACACTAACGTTGTGTGGGCAGTGCTAGACACAGCTCAGCACACATTTCAGCTGCATTATAATATGGTTGAACATTTAAAGAATGTGATTAGCTGTTTTAAATGGGTCTCAAGTACACAAGCAGTATATGTGTGTCTACTAGACTGAAATTTTACTGTCACAAGTTTTTTTCTCACATTGGTTGACTGGTCCAATTTTCTTTTCATTAGTTTTTTTCCCGAATTTACATGAAAATAATACTAACTTTAAAAAATGTAACTCCCTGAAGAGTGTAGACAGGCTTCTAAATAGATACACACCAAGTGATGTTCAGTAACACCAACCAAACATATTTCTACTAATTTATGTAACATCTTGGAAAGTGTTTAAAATTCTATATATTGGAGGTCACTTTTACCTAACTCTGTCACTGATTACCTGTCCTGGAGCCACTGGAATAGTCCACTCACACTTATTATTATGAGTGACTGATTTAAAAGTCTGTGATTACACTTGTTTTTCATGCAGTATTTGTTATCAGGCTAATAGTGTATGTGGAAATTTGGTTGAAACTTTTTGTACTAAGCGTTATAGTGGCCCATTAAGCAGTTTAAGAATCAGGTGAATCTGAAACTTCTTTCAGACATTTAGCCAGAAATGAAACTAAATGTCATGAAATAATCAACAATGAAGCCAGTCTTCTGTAAGTGGCGAATGCTTATTAAGTCTTGTTTTCGATTGTTACTTATTAGCCAGATAACAATTCGGGTTCACCTGATTTTGTCGTCTTTTAAAGGCCGAGTAACCGACATGATTAAAGGTACCATCCTCTAATTCTGTGATGCTAAAGGCAATAATTTGAAGCCATGTAGGTGGTTAATTATGCCATGTGCTGCCTCTGTCTAAATGTATGGGACATGTCATGTTGAACAATAAAAGTTCTAAACACTACTTTGTTTGGGATTTCAGGGCCTGAATATGCTAGGGCAGGTTTAATATTGTAGTTTTTGCAAAGACCAGAACGATGCAGTTTATGGCAAACTTAAAAGAACCTTGCAGTGACAACATGTGGAATAAAGTAACATGATTACCAGCTACAGTGAACAAATAATATAATGCATATGATTCGGAAAAGCAACGTTCTACAGTGAGTGAGTATGTTTATTCTGGAATATATTTTGATCATTTAATTTGAGCCCCATTAAGCAGGACTGTATTTTTTACTTTATTTATTATTTTTATACTTTGCAAAGCAATTATCCAACACAAAATTCTGTTTACACTATTGTGCATCACAAGTTTCACAAATGAAAATCTGTAAATCATATTTCTCCACCTGAGACTAAAAATGTTTCAAATTGGGACAGCCATTTTTCTACTTTTTTTTTCTTCTTCTTCTTAACTGATTTTCCTTTTTTTTTCTTTAAATTTTTTTGTTTGTTTGTCTGTCTGATTCCTTGAAATTGGGAACATAATTTGAAATTTTGGGATACCAAGCTGAAATTTTGCAGTAATAACTTGAAATTTTTACTTATGTTTTTTTCAGTCATGATAGATGTTGGTCATCTAATCGCCTTCACATATTGCCACCACTTTCACAGAAGTCCCAGCTGCTCCTAAAGGCAGCACCGCTGAGAGCAAGCGTTCTTCTGACCAGTGTTGGGAAACAAAAAATTACTAACATATGGTCGGTAACTTTTATTTTACCGACCATATATATATATATATCTCAACACGAGATATTTGTTTGTGGAGCATAAAGGCTGTATGCTCAAAGTTTGTTGGAGGGGACTGCGTCAAACGGAAGTTGTTGGAATTACGAGGTATTTTGAAAGCGCCGTAGAGATAAATAAACGCACACCGCGCCGAGCAGGCTGTGGTGGCAGAGGTTATTAACACTACGAAAAATTTAGCTTCGTAACGCGTAATTTAAAGCTAACTTTGGGCTGTATATTGCACCTCTGCGCCTGCAGAGAATAAAGCATATCCGGTTGGACGTCGCTAAAGGTAACACTCCTGTCTGTAAACGTTTGCTAAACTTAAGACTGCTGCTAAAGTAAGCTAACGCTAACGTATGTAACCTTAATGAAAAACAATAGCGTACCACTGTAGCAGGCTAGGGTGAACAGCTGTTTTATCTATTGCTTAACACCTGTAAATAAATCTCGAATGAACTTAGAGGCCGTACGTCTCCTAGGTGAACTTTGACATTCATGTGTATATCTACGCAGTAGCTAGCTAAAGTTAGCCACAAGTTGTTCAGGACCTCATTCGTGTGACTGGGAATAACACCGCAGCTTGGATTACGATATTAAAATATAAATTTCATTAAGTTCATTTCTTTGTTTATATAAGCTAATATAACTGCAGTTAACGCGTTTTTTCCGCATGTGTGACCTTTACTTGAAGGCTAAACTTGCTGCAGTTCAAAATGCAGCATGCCCAGTATATTAGTCACGGAACAGCTGGTGTATGGTGGTATTAGGCACATTAATTGTGACATTTATTACAGTTGAGTAAATGCCTAAATTTTAACCCTAATGCTTAATAAACATTAGACATCGCAGACACTGTAGTTTGTTTGTATATTTTTTCCATTGTACTCATTGCATTGAAATGGGAGAAACTAAGTTTCACTTCACTGTTTGTCATGCACGTCTTCCAGCAGCTTCACACAAAGGAAATGAATCGTGGCTGCATGTCTCGACTGACTTTGCTCTCCTCTGTCTCTCACTGTCATAGACTCTTATTGCCACAATGGTTTCCTACAAGAAGTTGAATCCTGAAGATGTCCAGTTTTCCAGCGCAGTTTTGTCAGAAGAGCCTGTTCAAGGCGAGGCTTCAGTGAGTTAGCTTGTGTTTATGAATCTGTTTGTCATGTTATAATCCGTAGAGGCTTACAATTTTACGTTTTAGTATATTATCTCTTTCATTAGGATGACTCACAAGAATTAGGATCTTTATAAGGAAAGTCTGTATTTTACTGAATCCAGTGCTGAAACTGGATTTTTACTTCATTCCTGTGTTTCAAGGCGCTGGAGCCAGAGGACGCCTCATTGCTTCAACGTGGACCTTCATGCTCCGTCACCACGGGCCTCCTGGTGATCGGCTGCCTCCTGCTGGTGCTCTGTGGAGCATGGCTACTGGGTGCTGTGTTATGGCTGCACAATCCCAACCAACAGGAGCATAAACCGCCACTGCCGGGCCCAGGACAAACACCGGGCCCCAAAGTGCAAACATCAGCGAACGATACTGCTGCCTCTTTCCGCAGTGAGACATGCAGTCTGATACCAGAGGCGTGGAGGTTTGATTGCTACCCTGAAAGAGGGGTGGTTGTGACCCGAGAGCTGTGCGAGGCAAGGAACTGCTGCTTTATCCCTGCGTCCACCGCTTTCTCCTCTGCCAGTCGCCCGTCAGGGAAAAATGGAATCCCTTGGTGTTTCTATCCTTCAGAGTTCCCTTCGTACTCGCTCATGTCACTAAATGACACGCTGCTGGGACAGAAAGCTACGCTCGTGAAGGAGGTGAAGACGTATTACCCTGGAGACATCCTCACCATAGAAGTGGAGATGCGTTATGAGACGGACAAGCGGCTGCGTGTCAGGGTGAGTAGAGGTTTCACATTTAGTCATGGAAAACATAGAAGGGCAAAATTTTGGAAACTTACAAGTTGATGAATACATTTTGCTCATGTTCATGTATTAAAGAGCCTTTAAAACTTAGAATTCATGCTGCGTTTTTGCACTGATCTTCTGTTTCTGTGTTCATTTTCTTAATTGGAGGAAGCAACAGACCAATAAAAGAATTAGTATTTGGTTTAAATAAAAGGGTATTATGTAAAGGCTGTAATTTGGAAATTGGCACGGGCTAAACTGCCTTATAGTCTTAAATAAACATGATTGTTGGACAGCGATAGTTAAGAAACTTTATATGAAATGACTGAGTCACACTGTAAGAAACCTAAATGTGGAAAAAAGATGGGCAGATGGACTTCCAGTGCACACATCTGTTGATTCTTGCTTTGCATATAAAACAAACATGTTGACCTTTGCACTGTGATAATTTTATTGATTAATATTCATGACAATAAAGATAAGAGAAACTACACCTGTCTATTACAGATGTAAGAAAAATTTGCTCTCCTTTGCATTGCATTTTTCATTTCATCAGGTTCAAATCTAATCCTGTAAATTAATTAAGTTGTTGTTTTTTTGTTGTTTTTTTTAAATTCTGATAAAATGTTTGTAACAATTACTGTCAGTTAACCACAAATTTTTCTCCATCAAGATCACCGACCCTTCAAGCTCACGCTTTGAAGTTCCCATCTCCGTCCCCACTGTCACCAACAAGACAGAAAGCCCAGATTATATCATCGAGCTCTCAAAGCAACCATTTGGTCTTGTGGTGAAGAGGCGCTCAACAGGAGCAGTACTGTAAGTCTGAGCTGAATGGGACATTCTGAAATGTGAGGAATAAAACATCTGATTCAGAGGGATTTTTTTCCACTTGCGGCTCTGTGTTGTAGGTCTCATTTGGCTTACGTTGAAGAAAAGGGCTGTAGTTAGATTTCCTCATTCATATACATATTGGATACTCTTAACTGTATATATGTATTCAGTTATGAAATGACAGTCTCATTAATGCTTGTCCAAATGTTTCCTGTTAGTCTGAACACCACTGTGGCGCCTCTCTTCTACGCGGATCAGTTCCTCCAGTTCTCCACTTCCCTACCTACGCAGTTCATTTATGGCCTGGGCGAGCATCGCTCCACCTTCCTGCACGATGTCCACTGGAACACGCTCACCATGTGGGCTAGAGATGTGCCTCCAACGGTAACCATCAGTCACAGACACAGCTGCTGTGTGATCCCTCAGATGTTCACGTTAATATAGTTTTTGTCAGTAAAATGATCAGTTAGTTATTCTGTCTGATCATCTTTGATACTTTGCTGCCATGCTCTCACGTTTGCAGTCAATTCACAAAGCTGTTGCAGGCTGTCTTTGGAGGATGACAGGAGGCTGAATTAATTTTGTTAACTGGCTGGATAAAACTGCAGATTACATGAAATGTATTGTAATGTCTTTGCATTCTTCTTCCGTACTGTAGGAGCAGACAAACCTGTATGGGGCTCATCCATTTTACCTGGCAATGGAAGATGGAGGGAACGCACACGGCTTCTTCCTGCTGAACAGCAATGCAATGGGTAAGTCTGTTAGTCACCCTAATACCTTCTGGTTTCACAATGTGCAATAGGTCACATACACAAACACTCAGGAACAGCAGAATAAAATGCTTAAGCTTACAAGTCAAGTTCACATGACAGCAGCTGACAAAGTTAAGCAATTTCATAAAAGCAGAAGTTACAAATGGACTTTCCAGTGTGTGACAAACTTCATATCATACTCAGATGTCATATTGATTATTCAGAGCTTTGCCAACACAAACTGTAAAACGATTTGCAATGTACTGAAGTTTTAATAAGATTTGTTTCATTTTGCCATTGAACTAAGTTATGTTGAAAATCACCTTTAGATTATTATACAGACCTCTGTTCTTTTCTGCGTTTGTTTTCTGTGTTGTTCTTTCACAAACTGAAGATGTAGTTTGGAAATGAGAATGATCAGCTGATACCTTACTCTATTTTCTTTTTAAGTGCACGTTTCTTTTGATGAAAAATGTCTCATCAGTTTCTTATCTGTTTTGTCAGACGTGGTCCTCCAGCCTACCCCGGCCCTTACCTGGCGTACTATTGGTGGGATCCTTGACTTTTACATTTTCCTTGGTCCTGATCCTGGTTCAGTGGTTCAGCAATATGTGGATGTTGTAGGTCAGTAGTAGCACTGTGATGAGATGCACATATATGTAGGCATGTGTACTGCACCCTGATCCATGTTTTCATGGGAGAAAACCTCAAAAATCAGACAACCATCCTTTGAGCAAACACTTGGCAA